GCCAGGAAAAAAAAAAAAACAACCACAACCAGGCCAGGTACTGACTATTCAAACAAATTGATGTTTAAGTTGAAGAAAATGAAAATAAGTCTGAAAGAACCAAAATATGACCTTAAGTGTATCCTACTGGAATTTAAAAACTGTTTCAAGCATAGATTTGAAGCATTGGACACAAATGAATTGTGGAATGATAGCAAGGTCATCAGCCATGAAGAAAGCAAAAGGTCATTACAAAGACACAGGAGAAAGAAAAAAACCAAAATGGATATCAGAAGAGACACTGAAACTTGGGCTGAAACCAAAAGAAATAAAAAAAAAGGAGGCAAAAAATGTTCAAGTAATGGAGTTGAAGAGATTTCAAAGTTCAAGAAGATTAAGCAAAACTATTTAAATGAAATGTGCAAGGAGTTAGAGTTTGAAAACCAAAAGGGAAGAACATACTCAGCCTTTCTCAAATTGAAAGAACTCATGAACAAATTCAAGCCTCGAGTTGCAATGTGGAGGGATTCTACAGGCAAAATCCTGAATGATGCCAGGAAGCATCAAAAGAAGATAGCAGAGTAATCCCAGAGGTACATGGTTCAAATACACCAAATGCTCTGCTGGAGAAGGAGGGGCAACCTCCTCCTTTACCAGTCAGATCCGATTTGACGGTACACTCACAAATAATAATAAAATAAAATTAAAAAAATAAAGAAGATAGTAGAAATACAGAGAGTCATGGTTGACACTGAACACACACCCTCTTGCCTTTGACTCAGAATTTACTTATATTTGGCTTCCAGTGGGTTTTCAGAGACTGTAAAGCACACGGGAGATTGCCCATTTTTCTTCTGAGGAGCAGCTGGTGGATTTGAACTACCCACCTTTGGGTGGAAAGCACAACTGCCTACCTAGTAGGCTCCAAGAGCTCCCTCTTGTAGAACTTAGTTCTATTATAACACACATGAGATCATCATATATTTCAATCAACTCATTTGCACCTTGTTACTAGTTTTATCAAAGCCTTTCTGAGTTGGATCCACACTGAATGACAATTTCCAAATGCAAGGATGGACAGAGATATCTAAATTTACAAATAATTCTGTCTTATGACCTGTTGATGAGATGACTCTGGTTACTATAAAGCTGACATTTCCCAATAACATCTGAGCCAAGAGAAAATTCAAGAGTGACCTTTCCACCTACTTTGGCATCCTGGATAAAAGCAAATGAAAAAGAAGACAATAGTAATATTACCCTAGTCTACTTTGTTGTTGTTGTTGTTGTTATGTGCCATCGAGTCGCTTGTGACTCATAGCAACCCTGTGTACAAGAGCTCTAAACGCTCTTCTATTCAAATATTTCACATTAAAATATTTCAGTTCAATTCAACACCGAGTCTCTTCCTTCTCATAGTGACCCTCCATTGTGTTTCTGAGGCTGCAAATCACAATGGGAAGAGACAGACCATAGTTCTCCCTGGAAGTCACTGCTAGATTTGAACTGCCCGAGCCTCATACATAGCCTCTGTGTTAGCAGTGCAACTCTTTAAGGACTAAACACTAGAGCTCCCTTCAGAGAGTAAAGTGACTGTCAAAGATTTTGTTTGGAACCAACCCAGCTCCAGCGGGTTTTCAGAGACAGTAAATCATATAAGAGGAGATGGTGCAACTTCTTACCACTAAGCTACCACAACTACTTAAGAGCTGTTCTACATGATCAATATAAGTCTGAAGGGCAGTGAGTTTGTGTTCTCCCAACCCTCACTCTTTGGATAAGTGGATTTTCTCCCAGAATATCTTGAAAAGATAACTTCAGCTTTAATGGGAACTCCTCACCACAATACCTTTCTAAGATTGCTGCTGAAGACCTATAGGATCTGTAGGGTCAGAGTGGGCACCAGGCACCTTTCCTTGGCAGGAACACAGCCACCTGAGACCGTCCTCATCCTAAAAACAGAAAGTTAAGAATGATTATTACAAAACAACCATGAGATATCATCTCACCCCAATAAGAATAGCAAAATTCAACAGAGCAACAAACAACAAATGCTGGCAAGGTTGCGGAGAAACTGGAACCCTTCTTCACTGTTGGTGGGAGTGTAAAATGGTGCAACCACTAGGGAAGGCAGTATGGCACTTTCTCAAAAAGTTGGAAATAAAATTATCATTTGACCCAGTAATTTCACTATTGGGAATATACCCTAAAGAAACCAGAACTGCCACCCAAGCAGATATATGCACACCCACGTTTATTGCTGCTTTGTTCACAATAGCAAAGAGTTGGAAACAACCCAAGTGCCCATCAACAAATGAACAGATAGAGAAGCTGTGGTATAGTCACATAATGGAATATTATGCAGCACTGGAAAATAAGGAACTACAATGAAACAAGGAAAAACATTGAAATATGATTAAAAAAATGGGTGTCTACAACCAGGAGAAGATAAAATAGATGAATGAGACCGTCTAAGAATCAAATCCCTATGCACATCCAAAAATTTCTTCAACAGGGTAAAAAGGGAAGCCACAGACTGGGGAAAAGTATTTGGGAATGACCTGTCAGATAAGGGACTTATATCTAGAATGTATAAAATACTTGAGCACCACAACAAGATAAAGGTAAATAATCCAATTGAAAAATGGGCACAGGATATGAACAGACACTTCACCAAAGAAGATATTCAGATGGCCAACAAGCACATGAAGAAATGTTCAAAATCCCTAGCTCTAAGAGAGATGCAAATCAAAACAACTATGCGATATCATCTCACCCCAGTCAGAATAGCAAAACTTAACAGAACAGCAAGCAACAAATGCTGGTGAGGTTGTGGACAAACTGGAACCCTTATTCACTGTTGGTGGGAGTGTAAAATGGTGCAACCACTGTGGAAGGCGGTATGGTGCTTTCTCAAAAAGTTGCAAATAGAGATACTGTTTGACCCAGAAATTCCACTACTGGGAATATATCCCAAAGAGACCATAATTGACATCCAAGCAAATATATGCACACCCATGTTTGTCACAGCTTTGTTCACAATAGAAAGGAGTTGGAAACAACCCAGGTGCCCATCAACAAAGGAATGGATAGAGAAGCTGTGGTATATTTATACAATGGAATACTATGCTGCATTGAAAAACAAGGAACTCATGCAATATTATTCAAAATAGCTGAGCCTGGAGGACATTATGCTGAGTGAAATATCTCAGTTGCAAAAGAACAAATACTGCATGGTGCCACTGCTGTAAAATGGGACTGACATCAGGGTTGGGATAAGACTGAGAAAAACTGGATAAATTGTGTATACTGCATTTAAACAGATGAGGGAAAGAATAATTTAAAAGCGATGTATGATAGGGTATTATGGTTATCACAAGAGTCCACAATTAAGGTTGCAATAGTGGAGTGTACTTGGGGCAGTGGGAGGGATGGGGGGGGATTGTATATCAAAGAAAGAATTTTTCTTTTACTTTTCAAAGAGAGGAGTGAACTGGGGCTGGGGGGGGGCGCAGGGGAGAGGGCTGGGCAGGGAGAAAATGAATGAATGGAAATCCAAAATCTCATTAAAAGTAGTAAAATAAAAAAATGGGTGACCATGGAGGACAATATGCTAAGTGAAATATTTCAGTCACGAAAAGACAAATACTTCATAATGCCACTGTAGTAAAACAAGGCTGATATGGGGTTGGGGGAAAACTAAGTAAAGAGTGGATAAATAATGTACACAGCATTGCAACAGATGAGGGAGAGAACTGTATAAAAGGAATATATGATTAGGTATTATTGGCATAACAAGAATCCAGAACAAGAGCTGCATAGTAAAGTGGATTGGAGGGAAAACTGTATAACAATGAAATTTTTTTTTTCCTCCAAAGAGAAAAGCAAACTGGAGTGGGGAGGGGAGCAGGGAGGAAAATGTGCAACAATGAATGAATGGAAATCCAAGTGTTCTATAAACTTTCATTAACATTTCAATTAAAATTATTAGTAGTGATTAAGAAGGATCTTTCATTATTAGTAATGATTAAGAAAGAGTAATAGTTAAAAAATATTAAGAATGATCTTTCAGATTCTTTCTGCTCTCAGATTCTGCAGCCACTAAGGGGCTTAGGGAAAGCGAGCCTCTTTTATTCTAAATTCCACAACTCTTTCGGAAGCGAGAACAAAGGCTGGTGAAGAAAGCTCTTCTCCACAGCTCAGACTTCGCTGCAAGGTATTGCCTTGGGGAATTCACCTCGGAACTGGCAGGATCTTGTCCTGCGAAGGGAAGCCTGGGAAGCGGAGGAAGGATGAACTTACTGTAAGCAAATCAAACGACTACGATATGAAGTGGCAACGAGCACAAGAAGAGCAGAAAATCAAGCTTCCCCACTCCTAACTCGCACTGCTTTCCCTGCGGGAATCTCCTTTACGGATGGTGGGTGAGAGAGGAATCGGAAGGCAGGCGCCAGGCTCCACCTTAGGTATCGAAGCGAAAAGCCTGATTCTCTTACTACACCGCGGGGCGCGGGGCGCGGGGCGCGGGGCGCGGGGATCTCTCCGCCCCTGGACTTGGGCGAACAAACTCTCTTCATTTCTCCCTGTCTGGGAAGAAGGGACCCTTGGCTGGACGTTCCTTCCTTAAGACATACTAGCACTTTCCTTCGCTGAGGACGATCCCCACATGTCCGCGAAGGCGTTCAGTTCTGTGGACTATGAAAGTGGACTTTTGGTTAGCTTTCTGCGCACTGTGGGCGTTAGCGGAGTGGGGCCGTTCTACCGGCCTCTCTCTCCTACACCCTCCCTCAGCCTCCTGGTGCCAGGTCGAGCGGGCAGAAGGGTCCTTCCCCGCCGTGGGAGTGCGCACAGGGCTGGGTCCTGGAGAGCCGGGTGTAGGACTGAAGAGGCCGCTCCCCCGGCTGCCGGAGCCCAGCAGGGGCGTGTCCCGAAGCTCACCTGCCATTGGCGGCGGGGCCGCAGCTGGCGAGCAGACGCGCTATAAGTGGCGAGCGAGTAGCCGGCGCTCGGCGCGGTGCAGGATGGTGGACAGCGTGTACCGAACCCGCTCCCTGGGGGTGGCGGCCGAGGGGCTCCCGGACCAGTACGCGGACGGGGAGGCGGCGCGCGTGTGGCAGCTCTACATCGGGGACACGCGCAGCCGCACGGCCGAGTACAAGGCCTGGCTGCTCGGGCTGCTGCGCCAGCACGGCTGCCAGCGGGTGCTCGACGTGGCCTGCGGCACCGGGTGAGCCCAGCGGCCGGTGGGGGACGCGGAGACCGAGCTGCAAGGCCTCAGCCGGGCACGTCGGGGCAGCGCTCACGGAGCCGGGCAGGGGCGGACAGCCAGGACTGGACGGGTACCTGTCCAGGCAGAAGCGGGCACAACGGAAGGAGGGCACAGGGTGGGGGGGAGTCCATCGGCGGAGGGGCGAGGAGCGGGAGCGTAAGGTGGGTGCCCCGGTGGGGGAAGCCAGGACCAACCTCACCACATCCAACGCTGGCTCTAGCCTTGCTCCTACGTGTTGCTTGGCCTTGGGCAATGTTAACAGTTAACATTTGTTCAACATTGACCTGTGCCAAGGGTGGTGTTTAGAGCTTTTGACAACATGCTCTTTGCAGTCTTACAAAACCCCATGAGGTAAGGGGTAATAACTCCATTCACAGCTGGGCACGCTGTGTCAGAAAGCTCCCGCATGTAGGGGAGAGGCAGTGTAAGCAGAGCAGCTGTGCAGAGACAGCCTCCCCCTATTTCTGTGCACTCTACTCACCCACTGCCCTCTGGTCAGAACCTACTTGTAACTAGCTGATACTCCACTTGGTTTCGAAGCCTGTAAATCCCACTGGAGGAAGTTGACCAGCTTTCTCTCCTAAAGCAACAAGTAGATTCAAAAAGGCCAGAGCGCTGTAGCTTCTAGGTTAGCACAACTTCCTATGGGCTAGGCCACCAGTGCTGCTGTACACAGGTTACTTGACTTTTCTGCACCTCACTTTCTCCATCTCTAAATGAGGACACCACCTCCTACCTCACTGGGCTGCACATTTGATCTAAATAGGTGCTGAAGAAAAAAGTCACTACCTGATAAGCAGATGTTGTTATGTACTGTGTGGCCAGAACGGACTGACTCATAGCTGACCTTCCAGCGGGTTTTCAGAGGCAGTAAATCACATGGGAGGAGATTGCCCGTCTTTCTCCCATGGATCAGCTGGTGGATTTGAACTGCTGGCCTTTGGGTTGGTAGCACAACTCCTTATGATGAAGCCACCCTATCAGTAGCTATGTGAGGTTATTTGAGATCAGCAGAGAAGGCTCAGGAAGGGGAAGCAGAGGCATGGATTCTGGCCCATGAGTGAGGTAGACAGCACAGAGCCCCATCCTTGTCCCGTGTTCCCTGACTGCTCTTTTCTGCCTCTTGTCCATGGCACTGTCCAGGGTGGATTCCATCATGCTGGTGGAAGAGGGCTTCAGTGTGACCAGCGTGGATGCCAGTGACAAGATGCTCAAGTATGCGCTCAAAGAGCGCTGGAACCGGCGGCACGAGCCTGCCTTCGACAAGTGGGGTACGGCAGGGCAGCCAAGCCGCCAGGGATGTTTCCTCCCTGCCCTGGGCTCTTTAGTCCTTGGGTGGGGTGTTTCTCCTAACCTGTCCACCCCTAAGGGAGGGCAGTAAGATCAGAGGAAAATTGACTGCCACTTCCCCACAACAGAAGCACCAGGAAAGGACTGGTGTAAAAAGCTGCCTTAAGTGTGATTACCCTTCCCACTCCACCCTACCCCCATGAATAAAAACTTAAAAGTTCTCCTCCCAATTCCAGCCTCCTCTATAAGAACTTTCCACGTCTGTAATGATCCTCCCCTCCTAATGGAATGAAGAATCCCTGTTTTGAAGAGGACCTGAGGCAGGACTGTGGTGGAGGTGGGTGCTGCTGGTACCATGTACACTTGTTGCCCTGATGCTTCTTCCCCCATTTTTGGCTCCCAGTTATTGAAGAGGCAAACTGGATGACTCTAGACAATGATGTGCCTCAGCCACCAGGAGGCGGCTTTGATGCTGTCATTTGCCTTGGGAACAGTTTTGCCCACTTGCCAGATAGCAAAGGTAAGAGGTGTGGCTGTGGGCATGGCCTCTGGCCTGAGCTACACCCCTTTCTCTAGGCCCCTCCCTTGGCCACCTGCTCGCCTGGAAAGCATTCTTTGCTTGATTCCCCACCCTGTCTCTGTCTTTGCACCAGCACCCGTTGGGGAGGGAAGAGATGGGAGGGAGCTAGATGCTGGAGGGGTCCTGAGCAGATAGGGCATCTCTGCCCCTACCTGGAGCTCAGGAGACCAGAGTGAGCACCGGCTGGCACTGAAGAACATCGCAAGCATGGTGCGGTCAGGGGGCCTGCTGGTCATCGACCACCGGAACTACGACCACATCCTCAGCACGGGCTGTGCCCCTCCAGGGAAGAACATCTACTACAAGGTGGACTCCCTTGGGGGTGGGAGGAAGGCTCAGAGTGGGAGGTACGATCCTGAGGTCTTGGGGTCCCACCATGAACTACTGAGGCTAATGACACCTGCACCATGGCCTGCAGAGTGACCTGACCAAGGACATCACGACATCAGTGCTGACAGTGAACAACAAAGCCCACATGGTGACCCTGGACTACACCGTCCAGGTGCCCGGAGCTGGGCAGGGCGGTTCTCCTGGCATGAGGTACCCACGTGGGCAGGCAGGGGCGTGAGGGGGAAGGAAGCTGGACCATCCGCCCTCACGGCCCCCTGGGGCTCCGTTGCAGTAAGTTCAGGCTCTCCTACTACCCACACTGCCTGGAGTCTTTCACGGAGTTGGTACGAGGAGCATTCGGGGGCAAGTGTCAGCACAGTGTCCTGGGTGACTTCAAGCCATACAAGCCAGGCCAGACCTACATCCCCTGCTACTTCATCCATGTGCTCAAGAGGACAGACTGAGTGCAGCCAAGATCCCACCAGCCCCGGCTCAGCCCTGGCAGCAGTGCAAAAAACCCAGGTGTGCGGAGAGGCCCAAGGCAGTTGGGTGCACTGAACCAACAATAAAGTCTGTGCCTTTTCAGCCTCCGCATGCCTTGTGTCTTGTGTCAGAAAGATCAACCCCACGTATTCCAAGGGTTTACTCCTCCCACCACCTGGCTCTGCACCGCCCCACCTAGGCACCAAATGACACCAGCAGGGGGCAGCATCCGCTTTATTTTCAGCCACCGATCTGGCTAACCCCCAGAAGTCCAGGTCTAGGACCTTCCTGGATAGGTCTTGGAGCCGGTCTGGGAACAGGGGCAGCTAGGCAGCCTCCTGAACTCTGGAAGGGATCCCAATGCCATCCTGCCCTAGAGGGATCTCCTGGAAGCCTTTAGGAGGCAAGCAGCAGCCCGAGGAAGACAGCCTCCTTTCCTCTCAGGTCTCTGCAGTCACCCTGAGGCTCCTGAGTCATCACGGGTGGGGTCTCAGGCTGCAGGAGGCTCCTAGCAGGCTGCAAACTTGCGCTGGATGCGCTTGTACCGGTTCAGCTCCTGCTCACTGACTGAGGGCTGCAGCCGGGCAGCAGCCGCCAGCAGGTCCTCCATGGTGAGCAGCAGGGCTGGGCTTCCCTGTTCGAGCCCTGGGAAGTGACAAGTGTTAGTCAAGGCCAGGATCCCCATCACAGCTGGGGAACAGAGGCTATGGTCTATGCCTAGGCAGGGAGGGCCTGGGGAAGGAGGCATCTTCCTGCCCAAAGGCCCCCAGAGGTCAGCAGCCCCTCCTCTAAAACCCAGAGCTGAATCTGTCCCCCACACCTTTGTGGTCAACTCTGGGGTTGGCCGAATAGCTTACCTTCCTCCAGGTCTCGAACTCTGCGTTTGAGGGCAGCTGTCATGGCGTCCGAGCACAGGGAGTAGAGGTCAGCACCTGTCAGCTGAGGAGGGCAGTGGTCCAGCACACTCACCAGGCTCACACAGGGCTCCAGCTTGAATCTGTGGTGGGCAGAAGGGGGGAAAGCCGACATCACAGCCAACATCACCTACTGCCCCTCGAAAACCAGCGATGAACAGCTGGTCCAAGCCCAGGCTCAAGCCCACAAGAACTCTTCCTCTAAGGGGGCATACTTGCGTGTGATGGCACTCAGAACCCGCAGCTGAGAGTTCCTGTCCTCGCTCACCCCCACAAACACCAGCTTGTCAAACCTTTAAGGGAAAATGGTAGGGAAGGTCAAGTTCCTCTCCCAGGAGGCAAGGCAGGCTCCCAGGGAGCCCAGTCAGAAGGGGTGGGAGAGGCCCAGAAGGGTCCAGGGGCAGATAGGTCCAAATGGGGAAGGCCTGGTGGGGGTGAGAAGTACAGAGTGCCCACCTGCCAGGCCGAAGCAGAGCAGGGTCTAAGAGGTCCGGCCTGTTGGTGGCTCCAATCACAAACACATCCTGTGTGCTGTGAAGGCCGTCCAGCTCGGCCAGGAGCTGAGACACGACCCTGGAAAGGAAGAGAAGGCTGGGGAGTCCTTGGTCCATCCCCAGACCTGCCCTCCTTGTCACCATTCTCAACAAGACTTTCTGTCCAGTTATGTGTATCCCTCCACGCGGGTCCCCATTCCCCCACACCTAACTCCACAGCCATCTTTAACCATCACTATGCAGCGGGCTTGAGCATGTCAGAGAGAGGAGTGTTCAGATCAGTTGCTCATAGGGTCGCTATGAGTAGTACTTGACTCAATGTCACCTAACAACATACAGTCTGAATAGGGTCACTATACTCCAGTATATTACGTGTTGATAGGGTCACCATGAGTCATACTCACAACAACAAAATACTGTCAGAAAGGAGCCCTGGTGGTGCAGTGTATGCATGTTGGGCTGCTAACCAAAAGGTCAGTGGTTTGAATGCACTAGCTGCCCTTCAAGAGAAAGCTAAGGCGGTGTTGTCCTATGAGGATTTACAGCCTCAGAAACCCGAGGGAGCACTGCCAAGAGTTCATTTCAACCCAACGGCAGTGGGTTCTTGTCTGTGTTATAGTGAGAGCTGGAAGACTAGGTAATGTGTACCTCTGGGCTCTGGTCTGGAGCTAGCCAGGACCTGTCTCTCATCCTGGACCCCAGACACCATCCCAGCTTAGAAGCCCCACCTGTCCATCACTCCTCCAGAGTCTCCACTTCGTCCTCGGTTTGGAGCCAAGGAGTCCAGTTCATCAAAGAAGATGATGCATGGAGCCGCAGCCCTGGCCCGAGCAAACACTGAGGGGAGAGAGGGCCCATGGAAGGAGGAGATGTGGAGTCAGGGCAGAAGAGGAAGGGAAGCAGGGATAAACCACTCCTCAGCAACACTCCCTCCAGTCACTAGACCCCACTGGGCAGGAACTCAGCTTGTGGGAGGAGGACTAGAAATGACCATGAGCAGCTTGGTGTCAGGGAGGCCCAGAAGAGAAGAGTTTGAGAAGGGCAGGAAGCCTGGGCCTGCCCTGCGTGCTCACCTTCCCGCACATTCTCCTCACTCTGGCCCACGTACATGTTGATGAGCTCTGGCCCCTTCACGCTGAGTGAAAGGATATGAGGCGTGAGACTCACCAGACAGACAGATGGAGATACATACACACTCTCTCTCTCTCTTTCTCTCTCTCTCAGGCTGCCCCTCCAGTCTGCTGTGACCCCCAACCCAGCCCTACAATCCCTCCCAGGGTCACCTGAGGAAGGTGAGGCTGCACTCGGTGGCCACAGCCTTGGCCAGGAGGGTCTTGCCAGTGCCAGGGGGCCCATAGAGCAAGAGGCCGGAGCGCCTGAGGCCCAGGCTCAGCACCTCAGGGTGCTCTAGAGGGAGCTGGATGGTCTCCAGAATCTCCTTCTTTGCCTCCTGCAGCCCACCCACATCCTGCCAGGACACGGCGGGGATCTAGAAGACAGGTGCACGCTAGGGGAAGTTCTGGTGAAGGGAGCTCCAGGTCCACCTCCAACATCCAGAGCCTCTACCTTGGGGGCGCCGATTGCTTGTGAGTGTGCTGCCTGCAGCTGCTCCAGGGCCTGCCCGAAGTCCTCTGCCAGGAGAGGGAAGCCAGCTGCACACAGCTCTTCCTCATCCTCCTCACTCCAGCTGCCTGCCAAACTGTGGGGAAAGCCAGCAGGCTGCAGGAAGGCCTCCTCATCGCCAGGATCCTGCTCCCTTCCTCACCAAGCCCAGCCAATACTACCTCCCTCCTCACCCTGAGTTCTTGATCCTGGTGCAGGCTGCCCGGCTGCTGTGAGTCAGAAGGGCATAAAGATCCCCCACCACGAAGCCCTGGGGGAACAGAGGGTAAGCAGGGTACAACAGGTACCAGGGCATGCTGGGGGGAGGTGGAAGGTGGTCTGCCTGCTAGCAGCAGAGACCTCTGTGTGGTTTGCAGGGTGGTGGGACGGAGTTCCTGGGACAAGGAGAACAGGCAGGTCCAGCCCCACAGCCGGCGCTCATACTCACAGCACACCGCCGTGCCAGCTGGGCCAGGTTCACCTCTTGGCCCATGGGGAGGTGGGCGGTGAGGGCCTGCAGGATGTGGAGGCGCTGCCCCTCTGACAGCACGGGCACCTCCAGCTCATGCAGGAATGCTGTCTGCACGTCAGCAGGCAGGTCCTGGGCCCGGCTTGTGGTCGCCACCACCATTAGAGGAGGATAGCTGCACAGAGAAGTGACACTGAAAACAAGGCCCTGGGCACTGCCTGGTCCTGAGGCTGGGCAGCAGCCATAGAGGGAAGGTGGGCACAGGTGAGCACCCCACATTCATAGATAAGGGTTCATAGGAATACTTTGTCAGAGGGAACCCATGTACATACATACGTGTGTGTACGTACGTATGTACGTACATATTCTCTCTCTCCCTCCCTCCCTCCCCTGAGATTCTTCTTCAAGCAATTCTTCAAGCCTAATGTTTCCTAAGGATGAGTCCACTTCCTCCTCTCTGGTGACCCTCAGGGTTGCCCATCAGGCAGTCAAAGGGCATTGAAGTGTGAGATAAAATGCAGAGAACTGGAACTCTCCCAGCTTTCAGGCCCAGTTCTGTATAAATACCTGGTGGAGGGGTCTTCATCAAGGAGGAGGTGACGAAGTGTGGCCACCACACGGGTGTCCTCACTGAGTCCCTCACGGTCCCAGCCCAGAAGGTCCACAGCAGTCAGCAGCAAAACTACAGGCCGGCAGCGCCTGGCCCGGGAGAAGGTGGCCTGCAACTTGGTCTCCACGGCCCCACTGCTGTCTGCACAGAGGCTGGAGCAGGGCACCTAGGAGGGGAGCCCCACAGGCCTGTGAGGACATGAGCAAGGACAGGAGTGACAGGGGCAACTCCTGAGATGCTTCAAGAACTGGCGGTTTCAGGATTTGGGGTGATGGCTCAGGAGTCCAGAGAATAGCACTAAGGCAGAAACAGATTTGACCAGTGCCCCTCCCTTAATCCCTGCCTTTTTTTAAAAAAGTCCCCATCTTCCCTAATGCTATTCTCTGGACTCAAGAATTGTCACAAATATTCTATTAATAGCTAAGCATCAAGGGAGTGTGTCTGGCTCACTCAGCCAAGGTATTGGGCCCGGACGGATCAAGAGATGGACAGGCTGCATCTGAGAGGGGAAGTAGTTGGGACAACTCTTCAGATTCCCTCACCTTCAGTAAATGGAGTCCAAGGCGGCTGCAAGCAGCAGTCACTGCTGTGGTCTTTCCACTGCCTGGGGGCCCCCGTAGGAGGACACTGCTAGTGCCTGTCAACAGGGCACCCCTGAAATAAAAAAAAGAGACCCTCATCTCCGCCACCAACCCAACCCTCAGCATACCCAGTGAAAAGGGGTCTCTGCATGTCTAAAGCAGACATCTGACTCCTCTCCCCCCAAAGTGCTGGCTTCCAGGACCGTCTCTCCTCTCCACAGGGAGGCCTTGTTTCCTGCTCCCGTCTGGAGCCCTGGCAGGGGTGCTGAACAGTCCAACACCCTTTTGTCATCACTGAATAATTTTCAGTGAAACCTTGGTCTTGATTGCACTGGAAGGAATTAGTAAGGTCTGCATTTGTTTACAGAAAGGATGTAGATGGGAGGTCAGGGCATTCTGATTCGAAGGAGGGCCTCCTCACCCCGCGGTAGCCAAGGCATCAGACACTAGTCTAGCTTGTTGCACCTCCAAGGACATTCTGGGTAGGCTTTCCTCACCCAAGGGGCTGCAGCCTCACTCACCCTGGCTGGAGCCGAGGCTTCAGGGTAGCACAGAGCTCAGACACCAAGGCCTCCATGCCTGGGGGAGACAAGCTGCTCCAAGGAGTATGTTCCCCTGCGGGCAGTCCTGGAACACAGCTCAGAGTAGCTCCCACCTGTGAAACGTGGGTGGCAGCTGTAGACCTGCTTCTACTCCTTTCCCCAGGATTACTCATAACCCAAGGCCTCACCATGTACAACGAGGTATGGGTGGTGTCAGCCAAGTAGGCACTGGCTGGCTTGTTGGGGGCTTCTCCAACTGCTCTCTTCACCTTAAAAAACATCTCCCGCCACCTGCAGGAAAGAAGCCCAATGAACATGTTCAGGGCCAACACATCCCGCTTCCCGAAGACAAAGCAGTGTTCTTACGGGCTGTGACCCTCTAGGTGGTTTCCAGAGGCTGTAAATCACAAGATCGCTCCCTTTCTCACATGGTGGACTTGGACTAGCTGTTTCAATCATGGAGGTGCTACTGTGAGAACAAACTCAGGAGGACAGAAAACATCCCCCAAGATGTGTTTGGATCCACAATCAACACCCTTGGTACGGGAAGTCAACAAATCAAAAAATGTTACACTGGAGAAGATCTGCTGTAAAAGACATTTCCAAGGGGCTAAGGGGAAATGGTGTCAATTTAAAGATCAAGGTGTGCCTGATTTAAGACATGGTCTTTTCAATTATTTGCTGTGCAAAGCTGGACAATGGATAAGGATGACAAATGAATTGATGACTTTGAATTGTGATGCTGGAGAAGAGTACTGAATATCCCACAAACTGCCTAAAGAATAAATACATCTTGGAGAAAGTGTAACCCAGTTTGCTCCTTGGAGGCACAGATAATGAAATTTAATCTCACATACTTTGAGCATGTCCTTGGAAAAGGGCATCATGCTTGTAAAAGTGGAGGGTCAGCAAAGGAAAGGAAGACATTCAACAGCATGGATTGACACAGTGACTGTGACAATGGGCTTGAGTGTATCAGAGATGATGTGGATGGCAGTGGATAGGGTAAGTTTTGGATCTTTGTTCACAGTCAAAATGAGTAGCACTTGATTTGATGGTATGTACCACTACCAACAACCCATATGGCTGTCTGTGGTGCACAAAAGCTGTCTGTCCCTCTGAACCCTCCATGGCTATCAGCGTGCCTTTGTGGGGTTGGGGTTGTATTTCAAGAGAAATAAACATCTCCTACTCACTCCAATGTGAGAAGTCACCGCAGCCCTGAATGGATCACTTCCCCTGGCTACAGAATAGTATCCCCCTCAAACACATACCCACCAAGGCCCCCTAAAACCTTCAGAAGGAAGAAATCTGTTGCAATTTTTTGGGTGTTTTTTTAATTTATTATTAATTTCAATGAAAATTTACAGAGGGGCTTTGGATTTCCATTCATTCATTGTTGCACTTTTCTCCCATCCCAACCCTTTCCCCTAGTACACTACCCTCTTGGAAAAGTAAAATAAAAATTATTTCATTGTTTTACAATCCCTCCCCCCAGGTCCACTCCACTATGCAGCTTTCGCTCTGGATTCCTGTCATGACAAAAAATATCTAATCACATATCCCTTTAAGACAGTTTTCTCCCTCATCTGTTTCAATGCAGTATACATTATTGAACCCATCTTTCTTAGTCTCCTCCCAACCCCAAGGTCAGTCCTATTTTACAACAGTGGCACCAGGCAGTATTTGTCCTTTTGTGACTTGAGATATTTCACTCAGCATAATGTCCTCCAGGATCACCCATTTTGAATAATATTGCATGAGTTCTTTGTTTTTCAATGCAGCGTAGTATTCCATTGTGTGAACATACCACAGCTTCTCTATCCATTTGTTTGTTGATGGGCACTTAGGTTGTTTCCAACTCCTTGCTATTGTGAACAGAGCCGCGATAAACACAGGTGTGCATGTATCTGCTTGGATGTCAGTTATGGTCTCTTCAGGATATATTCCCAGTAGTGGAAATTTCTGGGTCAAATGGTATCTCTATTTGCAACTTTTTGGGAAAGCGCCATACCACCTTCCACAGTGGTTGCACCAACATTTTTATAATCCACAAAATGGCAGGCAGATTCTGTAATAATTTGCCATCTAGATTTTACTCTATAATCACCTATGAAGCTTTTGAAAAATCAACACTTTTCACACATTATAGGATTTTATTTTTATGAAATATCCAGTATTGGCAAGCCTATAGATACAAAGTAGATTAGTGGTTGCCAGGGGCTACAGTAGGTAGGGAATAGGGAGTGGCTGCAAGCAAAGGGTTTTAGGGTGATGGAAATGTTCTGGAATCAGACAGTGACAGCTGTACAATGTTGTACTAAATCCAACTGAATTAAATACTTTAAAAAAATTATACACTTTAAAAGAATTTCTTTTAAGTTATGTTAATTATACTTCCGTTTTAGAAAACAGCATTTCTCCATTTTTTGGAAGGTAAAAAGGCCCAGGGAGCTCTGGTGGTTTAGTAGTAAGAAGTTGTACTGCCAACCCAAAGCATATGGTTCAAATCCACTAGCTGCTCTATGGGAGAAAGTGTCCTCCCATTACTGCCTCTAAAAACCTGCTGTAAGTCATGGGTCAGCTCTGACTCAACAGTAAACAGCAAAAACATAGGGCTCAATCTACCCCTATCTGCCTCAAAGTGTCTGAGATGGGTGTAAGTAACTATTGTGAAAAGCTCTTTCAGCTCAGGAACTAGATTTATTCTAATTACTGCCTGGGAAGAGGGTGAGTGGAAGGTTTCCAGATTTCCAGATAAAGACGAACTGCTAACTTTTCAGTCCTCAGGCACCAAGGCAAGATCAGAGGCAGACTGCAGCCCAGGCCTCTGCTTACACTGTCTCTCAGTCTCAAAGCTGCTTTTACTGGTAGCAGAGATGGGTAAGAGTGACCCAGGGTGGAGGAGGACGCATACTTGGCTGCTATTATGAAATGCTTAAGAGTTGTTACAACAGCAGTGATTGCAGTTAGAAAAAAAAAAGGGGGGGGGGAACTAGGTCCTTGCATTAATATGAGTGGGTCTACAAGCTAGAATCCCAACCAGGCCAAACATCTTGAGTCAAAGCACACAAGCGTGGAAGCACAGGAACCCAGGGGGGATAGCACTGGAGGGATCCAGGGGAGATTAACCTACCAGGTGGAGGCGGACTGCTCCCTAGAACCCAGGAGGACACTGTTAAAGAACACTTTTGTCTCTAACAGTGGGCCAGATGGGAAAGCGAAGTCAACTCCCATACAGGCTGGTCTGGGGAAGTATAATGGAGGTGAGGCAAATTGTTAAATTCTCTCATGAATTCAGTCCAATTTTTCTTTTCTTGGGACCTGCTCAGGGAATGAGTTATGCACTCAGAACCTAGAGAAGGGAGGCAGGTCTCTACACCTGGAAATAGAATAGCTTGGTTATCTGCCTCTAAGGGTGCCAGGGAGTCTTCTTTTGAAGTGCAATGGGTGGACACTCTGGGGTTTCCATACAGAAAGCTGGCTCACTGGCATTTGCTAACTTTAAGGTAAATGAGAGAGGCAGGGTGACTGAGAAGCATCAGTCTGGCATTCACTGGGCCCAGTTGTGGACTTGATTTAGGGAACTTCAGAGGTGCCATGGAGCACTACTGGACCCTTCATCTAGGCACCACAGCCCTGAGACCTGGAGACTTACTGGCCAGAGATTAGAGAACCAGGCTCTGAATACTGGCTCCAGCAGAATTAGGTGCTCCAAGTAAGGAACACTCCCTCCTTTTGGAAGAAGACTCAGGCTGGCTAGGTCTGACACTTTGGGTATGAAGGTTCTTATGCTTAAATTCCTGTAAGCAAGGTTCCACCTCACTTGAGATCTCTCTCAAAGTCGAAGTCTGAAAAGTTGTGTCCTTTCAATAAATGTCTATGGGAAATCAGCCCAGAACAGGAAAACTGGTTAAGATATGTTGTTGTTGTGTACCATCGGGTTGGAAATGACCCATATCTGACCATCTGCAGGGTTTTCAGAGGCAGTAAATCGCACAGGAGATGACTGCCCATCTTTCTCCCACGGAGCAACTATAAGATCTGAACTGTGTCCGCAGCGCAGCTCCTTACCACTAGGCCAGCAGAGCTCCCTTGGGTAGGCTATAGGATCATGCTATTCCCCCTTCACATAAGGCCAAAGCAGCCTCTCAATTGTTTGCCTCCTCATTTTATATGGCGTCTCTTCCCTGCTTGCAACTCTTGACTTAGTTATGAACTAGTTCTCACTCTGTTTAGGACGAGGGAAAAGAGGGAAGGCTGCTCAAGGGCAGCAGCAATCTTTTTATCCCCTTTCAGGAGATGTTATGTGGCTTCCAGTTGAACTGACTCAGAGCTGACCCCCAAGGGTTTTCAGAAGCTGTAAATTGCACAGAAGGAAACGGTCCATCCCTTGAAGCAGCTGGTGGATTTTAACTACCTGTCTTTGGGTTGGTGGTGCAGCTCCTTATCCACTAGTTCACCAGAGCTCCCCTTTTGGGAAACTGAAATGTATAACAACATATACACAATCCTCCAGTTAGAGAAGTCTAAGCCTGGGTCTCCATATTTTGAATATATGTGAGAAATGTATCGAACATATCTGAGCCCTGGGCTAAACACTGTGGATGAAAAGGTAAAGAACGAATTGCACTTTGCCCTAGGTCATCAAATTACTTTAAAAAAAAAAATCAAATAACTTTTTTTAAAAAATAAAATTACTCGGAGGGGGCAGGGAGAAAAGTGCAGCAAAGCAATGAATGGATGGAAATAAATTTAAAAAAAAAATCAGTGAAATCACACACACACACACAAAAGGCTAAAATTATGTTAGAAAATATAAAATAAAATTACTCCTCATCAACAAATGAATGGCTAGAGAAGCTGCGGTATATTCACAGAATGGAATACTATGCTGCATTGAAAAACAAGGACCTCATGAAATATACAAAATGGGTGACCCTGGAGGACATTATGCTGAGTGAAATATCTCAGTCACAAAAGGACAAATACTGCATAGTGCCACTGTTGTAAAGCAGGATGGACATTGGAGTTGTGGGGAACTAAGAGGTGATAAATAATGTATACTGCATTGAAACAGATGAGGGAGAGAACTGTTTAGGAGGAATATATGATTAGGTATTATTGTCATGACAAGAGTTCAGAATGAAAGCTGCATAGTGGAATGGACCAGGGGGGACTATATAACAATGAAATAATTTTTTTTTCTTTTCAAAGAGAAAAGTGAAGGAGGGCAGGGAGGAAAGTGTGTAACTATGAATGAATGGAAATCCAAAGTCTCTGTAAATTTTCATTAAAATAAATTTTTAAAAAATTCAAATTACTCTTAATGCTTTGCTTTACCTGGAAATGCCATACAGCAATCAACTGTATTAACACCTTCCAAAGGCAGCAGACCATGGTTCCTAACTTTAAGTCACATACCTGTTTGAGAATTTGAAGAAGGCATGGATCTTCTCCAAGAAAAATGTACACAACAAAGTGAAGTTCTTATATACACACTGTATACAATTTGGGGACTTGTGAATTCTTGGTTAAGAACCCCAGTGGCAAAAAAAAAAAAAAGAGAACCCCAGTGGCAGGACAGGAGGCAGCTGCATACCTGGGCAGTTTCTCTGGGCTTCCTTCCAGGACCTCTACTTGCCCAGCTGTTGGCACACACAGAATATCCCCTTCCTGGACTACCCTGCAACACAGCAGCAGCCCTATCAGCTCTCCACAGGTATCAAGAGCACAGTTCACCATGACTACCCCCAACACACAGGCTTAGATGCTTCCTATCCACCCAAATATCCCAAATAGGTCTCCATGGAACAAGTTAGGCCTAGACTGAGCTGGGGAAATGGTGAAAAGGCTGGAAAGAAGGATCAGAGAATACTTAAGAGCAAATCTTGGCTCTTCAGGGATCCATTCAGATCCAAGAGGTTTCTTAGTTTAGAAGATTCAAATTCATCTCATGGTTCAGATCTCTCTTCAATTGTCTGCCCGGTACACTAAGACGCTCCTATCCATAGTATTTTCCAAAATGTGGTTTTAGTCAGAAGTTTTGTGGTACTTTGGATCCAGGGCATGGGGCAGGAAGATAGCTACGAAGGTAGGATGCTATCTTCCTGATAAGGGTGGGAGGCTAACCTGGGAGTCTCGAAGTGTAGGTAAAGAACATGGTCATAATCTCCGCTGGTGTTGTAGTGAGGAGAGGACACAATCTGCACGTGCAGCTCCCTGGCAAATGGAGGCCCAGGCAGCACTGAGCAGCTTCCTTTGTCTTCAGAGGTGCTGGAACCATCCAAGTACCTCTAGTGGAGAAATAAACCACCACCTTAAAACTTTTCCCCAAAAAGTTAAGACTCTGCCCTGTCTCTTCACAGTTAGTTATCCTCCAGCCTCAGGGTAATACCTGAACATGGCTGACCTGAACACCTATACCTACAACACTGTCCTCTCAAACAGAAACACCCCCCTCTAAAAAGCATGAAGAAGAAATGTTACCTTGTTTTCTGACTCTGGCTCCAAAAAAATTTGCCAATAAAGCCTTCTGTGCATACCTTTCAGTTGGCCCAGAGCCAGTGAAATAGCAGAGACTTTGAATTCTCACGAGTTCTGAGTGACAAAAGATAGTCACTGGAATTAGTGGACTTTAATTGAGTTCAAGCTGTGGGAAGAGGACATGATCTTACTGAAGCTCAAAGAGTGAATTCAGCAGAAAGAAGAGTTCCAGGTCCTGTACTCCTGAAGCTTCTCCTCTGAGCAGGACATTCACACCCGCTCCCGTTCATGTACATCTTATACCTCTCTCCCTGACATTCCATAGTACTAGCGTGTCCATAGCCTACATTGTCCAATAGATTTTCCTGCAACAATAAGATTGTTCTACATTTACTGGGGAGGTCACTAAAGCAATCAAAGATCAGAATTTTAAGGTACATTTGGTTTTAATAAATTTAAATTTCAAAAGCTAAAATCGGGTCAATCATATTAAACAGGACAGCTCTAAATGACACATACAGGAACTCAATCATACACTAGACTACATTTGTTCCCTTAAACACAATTATCTTCTTGAAGATTTTTTTACTTTAATAGTATATAAATGTTCACTGATGTAGTTTGAAGAATTTTTTAAAAAATTTTATTTTTTTTAAATTTTTATTTATTTCATTATTTTTTGTGTGTACCGTCAAATCAGATCTGGTACAGGAGATTGCTCCTCCTAATCCAGCAGGGCATCTGGTGGATTCGAACCTGCATCTCTGAGATTGCAGTTGCAGCTTCTCACCACTAGGCCACCAGAGCTCACCTGAAGATTTTTTTTAAGATTAAGAAAAGATTAGAAAGTTACATCCCATTTTAAATAGTGAAACGGTATGTGAGGAAAAACTCAGAAATTTGTCTATTTCTATCAAAATGGCTTGCCTCCGGAAACTCTATGTACGAACAGTGCTCAGGCTGTTCGTTCATAAGGTTGTTATGAGT